TTTCTTTCTAACTGCAGCCAATTATATATCGAGTTAGGTGGCAAACTGGTAAACTAAGTAAAAGCATTCTTTGTTAAGGAACTAGGAAAATATTTCATTTTTAATTCCTCATTCATAGCTATATCTCCACATTCAATCTGATATCGTGCCACATGCTCGATAGTAGATTCACCGATTTCTCCGGCAAATTTGGTGAACTTGGGTATTTTACATCCTCGAGGTAATTCTGTCTCGAGAACCGTGTTTGGAAAAGAAGAAATAAAGTATGGTTGGTTAGGAGGCCTTAATTCCATTCCTTGGGGAATCATCCTTCGTCCCAACATATGGTTGTACTGCATGTTATTATTCTGATTATCCATATTTTGAAATCCTCCATTTAAATTTCCGTGAGCATCATTCCTCGCATGCTGATATTCATGCTGATATTCATTCCTCTCATGCTGATATTGATCAGTATTTCGATTTCTCCTTAATAGATAAGGGGGATTAATGTTGAAGTTTTGATTATCCCGATTGGCATTATTTTCCACCCTTATTTGTTGAGGTATTGCCAATGCATCCTCGATACGTGACATTTGATCTGCTAACATCTCAAAACTATTAATAGTGTTTTGAATTAATGGATTTAATATTGTAGTCAACTGTTGTGACAACATATTAACCATCTCGACATTGCTTTCATCCATTTGTTGTCGAAGTACTCCTAATGAATTACTGCAAATTCCAGTACTAGCATTTCCAATAGCATCGAAATTGGATCGATGATAATCTCTATCGAACGCATACCTCCCATGGTCTAGATTTGTTCTATTATCCTGGTTTGGAATCGGAGACATCTGTTGTGTTCCTAAACTTTGCGCATTTCCTGGATTTTGAGGTAATGCTAAATTTTGGGACACTCCTAAACTCGAGGACACTCCAAAATTTTGAGGCATACCTAAGGTTTGAAACGTTCCTAAGTTTTGGGGCATTCCTAGGTTAAACCTCATAGTTCTTTGTATCGAAGAGGTACCAGTCCCATTCATGTTATCAAACGTAAAACCAAGTGGTCTTACATTCGTATATGGACCTACATATGTTGTTACGGGACTTCCCGTGGTTTGCATAGTATTTGACATTACAGTTCCAGACCCTATTATCTGAGCATTTGCTAATGTCCCTTGGTTTTGGTCAGTACTCACAGATATCGACGCACTCACAATTGTCGATATTACAGGCATAGTTCCATTGTGAACTTGCCCCCCAGTGTTTGGTGGATTTGGACTATTTGGAATCTCACTGTTATTCTGACTATTCGGTGGATTTTGACTCATTCTTACTACTCGTCCACTCCTTAATCTCATACACTTTCGAACTAACCAATTTTTTGTGTAACGAGACCCCTACCTGGCACGCCAATTTGTTTCTGGTGAAAATTTGATCGATTTCAATTAAATCAGAGACTTGAGTTCTAACCAAATTTCAACCACGTAGATTCTTTTTACTTAGACTAGCAAACGGTTTTCAATCGAAACATGCATGAGAATCGAAAATCCCATAGGATCAAAAAACGCTAACAACACAACCTAGTGAGCAGATTGACAATCGAAAGTACTATTTTTGGTATTTTTTATCAAGAAACGCGAAGTAAAGAAAGCAGCAAAGGGTATCGAAATGAAGAGCAGTGCAAAATATTAAATTGCAGAGAAAGGTAAATGACAATGAATTGAAATTGCAAAAATGTAAGTGGCGAAGAACTTAAACGCAGAATTTTAACTTGCATAAAGGTAAAATGACAAGGAATTGAAAGTGCAGAAACTTAAAGTTGATAAACGTAAATTGCATGAAAGTAAATTGCATGAACATAAATTACCAGGGAAAGTAAAGAAAGCGATAAAGACAATCAACGATAATGAAAATCCAGAGCATTAGAAACTTCATGATGCGTCGTTCTCCTGTAGACTTTTTTCACTAACGTTTCTGTTCTCTCTGTCAATTTCCCCTCTTTCTTCCAACCTCACTCTATTTATAGAGTTTTCTTAAGGTAACCTCCTAGGGGCAATTAAAAAGTCATTACCATGTTCTTCAATGCACGTCCCTTGATCTTTCGTCTTCGCCTACAGTTTAAAAAACCCGCTTCCACGTTCCAATTGCGCTTTAACTTCGAAAGCCACGTATGATAACCGTTCCCTTCTATCTCGATTTCAGCCTTTCAATTCGTGATTTTCTTCAGTAATAATCATCGAATTCTCTTCTTTCGATTCTCGATTCCAACTCTCGATTTTCTTTAGCAATAGTCACCGAATCTTCTTCTTTCGATTCTCGATTCCAATTTCTCGATATTTGTTTAATACAGGTCATCACATTTCTTTTCTCGATTCTCGATTTAGATTCTCGATTTTCCTATTCATTGAATTCCTTCTTTCGATTGTCGATTCTGATTTTCGATTTTTTCCCACTAACACTCATAAATATCTTTTTCAACTTTAAGGGTTTCTCTGCAATACAAATCTACTCTCCATGTAGTACTTGAAAAAAAAAATCTCATTAAAAGTAGAAAACATCCCAAAAGAGGACACATCAAACTTGACATCCACTAAGTTTTATGCAAAAGAATAATTCATACAATTTTTCTATTATAATATTTTTCATACATTTTATTTCTCTCAAATAAAATATTTCATAAAAGTATTAGAAACCAAACTATTCATAATTTGTTATATAATTTTAGGTTTTTATCCTATCAATTTTTTAAAAAAATAGTAGTTGATATTGAAGTAAATATGATAATTAAATGGAGATAGATTATAATAGCAAATTTTATTATATTTTTTTAATTTTTTTATATAAAATACTAATATTAGTAACTAAGGCGAATTACATCAACCTTGAGTGAGGTGTTTTATTTTTAATGAGAAATAGTCAAAGCTTCAGAGTTGCGTGTAGAAACTGGCCGTGTCGTGTGGAAGGAAAGCTCCACGGAAATGCTATCAATTCATGGCAGGATACTAATACTGATGGTTGCAAAGTAAAAGAGAAGGAAAGAAAATTACAAAAAATGACATGATTTTTTGTTTGGAATATTTCGTAAAAAAATATATTATTTATTTAACTGTGTATGTAAAAATAATAATATGTAAAAATAATAATTAATAATAATAATATCCTTAAATATTTAGGATACATTTTAAATACTACCCTTCTTCCTTTTCATCTATATATGGATGGAATGGAATGCTTTTTTTTGGTTTGGTTCCATACAATGTGTTTTCATCCTCTTGCATTTTATGCAAAACCAAATGAAAAAAAATAAAAATAAAATTCAAGTCAATATTTGCATATTCTTTTATGCTGTTTATCTCCTTTCTATCTTTACAAATATACGTAAGTATTTGGCTTAAGGAAGAAAACCAATTTTAACGGAGGAAAAGAATAGGAAAGAGAGCGAAAAGAAGGAAAAAAAAATCTATTTGGAATAGGTTCAACCAATTAATAGAAAAATATTGATGGCTAATATTGAATTTTTTCAACATGAAATTAAAAACTTTATTGTGATTCCAAATTTAAGGAATCGACAATAATGTTGGTGGCCCATTTTTTTTATGGGCTGGTGTGGTGTTGGTTACGTCATTAATGACCAAAGAAGAGGACCAGAAGAAGATGATAACAATAGTCCCACAAACTAGCACAAGAGGTGAATAGGTCAAAATCCCCAACCTACAATTTAGCCAATTTTTCGCGTGAGAAAATTCACTTCATAATCACGTAGGAAAGTTTTTAGACTGTTGTTTGTGAAATACATATTTAAAGATATAAAGGACACATTTTCAATGGTCATAGGGATAATTTGTCAAGTACATATTTAAAGAAAAAATAATACATAAATATTTTGCAAGGCACAAGAAAAAAGCAATTCGTCCAAGGGATTTTTCTTATATAAACTATCTTTTTTCTTATATTTATCCTCTTCAGGAATATTTATATTTTACATACATACTTTTTCTTTGATCTGCACAGGTAAATAAAAAGATTTTTTTTTTTAAAGAAACTACTCTACTTTTCCTTTTGTTTCGTTTCGATTTGTTCCTACACAAACATAACCCTGAGACCAAATGCTTAACGAGCATATTCTATATTGCTTAGAGCATCTCGACAAAAAGATGCTAACAATTACTTAAAAATAAAAATAAATATTTTATAATAAATCTTATATTTACATTATTTAAAAATAAAAAATTATTTAAAATTTAAAAAATTATATCATATACTTATAATAAAATATTTAATTTTATTCTTAAATAATTCTTAATTATAAACCCTTTCCAAACTAAACTTCCAAAAGGTTAGCCGGTCTCCAATCGTACTACACTACTCACATTTAAAAAAAAAAAAAAAAACTTATGTCATGAATTTTCAAAATATAAAAATAAACAGTCCTCTTGGATTAAGAAATATCCTATTAAATGCCCAAGATTAAGCGTAGGCAAAAAAAAAATAAAAAATAAAAGAGCCTTATTCTGCAACAAGTAGCTGTAAACCTGAAAACAAGCGGCTACTTGCTTTATTAATATATACCCGTAGCTTTATTAACATTCTACAACAGTTCCGTAATCATTTCTAACATACTAACACTTGAACAAACAACATAAGCTTTTTATAAAAGGACAGACATTTTCTGTGTTTTACTGTACAGTTATAACTTAATTTTACTAGAAATGAATATCAACAATACTCCCTGGTGCTAATTATTAATCAATAATCTACAGATAGAAACAAGTTTAAGATGCCAGCCAGCCTTACCTAAAGAGACTTCCAAAAACAGGCATCTTAAGTATCACGAAAAGAAAATTTCAGCTAGCCTCTTCAAAAAACAAAACAAAAACAAATTTCTACCTTTCTGTCTTCCTTTGGCAGTGGAAGAAGGCCTCCTCTGCACTTGGCATCTAGAATGCGTCACTGCTTTCTCGTCTTCTTTGAACAAAAAATTATTGGTAATAGTAAGTAAACAACCAGAGCAGACTTTAGTCCTTCACTTCCTTCACCACGTTCCTAGTTGCCTTTCTACGTGATAGGAATTTGAAAATCGAGAAAATTGCAACCGAGGCAATTTGTAAATGCTCAGAGCTACTAATCTTTACACATAATTGCCCCATTTTACGACTATTTAGATTAGCACTCACAGATGCTCTCGAGCTTCTAGACAACCTGAACTCCGATTGTAAACTTCCACTCAACACCATTTCCTTGTTGAAAGAGAGGACTGTCATTGTTAAGCTTACATTGTCATTTCTTACCGGATAATCTTCCCCTCGTAAATTAGCTTCAAAACTCCCACCATACGCCATTTGTCCTGCACCCTCCATGCGGCCGGCATTCAAGACAAATTTTAATCTCTTCCCAACCAACACAGTATCCTCAAGTTTTGCACCGACATAGTACTTCTTTGCAAAAGATGTTAAAGAAACACCACAGTCTGCAATATTGTGCTTTATGTTTTTCAACTTTGTGTTGCTATGAACGGTACATATAAAATCTTTACCTGTGGACTGAACATCAACACCCAAAGAATAAGTAGGGCCCCCTGGATCAACATAAGCTGCAGCACACTCGGATTGAATACTGAAATCCTGGTTGTTCTTACTCATCTGTCCTACAACTGAAGCACGTACATTCTTCTTTATTTCTGCAGTTGTCTCCAAGTTTATACCATCAAAACTCACATCGTGATCCCATCCTTGGGGATCAAGAACAGGTCTCACAAGCCATTGGTCATCAGAAACAAGGCAACGATATCTATGGCTATGGCAATCTGACTCAAAACTTGGAGGAACAGCCATATCCGGTAACAAAACTGGTTCAGGAGGTGCCTGTTCATCATCAGGGTTATTACTGATCGCAAACTTCTGCTCTGTTGAGACTAGCTTCTCTTTGCGCTTACGATAGTCTTCTTTCAACTGTTTCTTTAAGTATAGAGTCTCCCTGTAATCCATTTCATCCAGATAATCTTTTTTCAGAGGCCCAGACAACATTTCAAACTGAGATTTTGTCAACACACGTACGGGCGGAAGTTGATCATATTCATCTTCTTCTTCCTTATCAGATAGTAATATTTCCTCAATTTCATCATAAATCCCACTTAGATTGGATATAGGGTGATGGCATAAGAGAGACGAAAGGAGATGGGGCATAGAAGGGATCCGAGTACTGCTTGATGGTCCCAGTTCTACACTGTTCTGAAAATTGAGAAGAGAATTTACGTCGCCCAGAACTTTGGTACAAATGCAAAAGAACAAGAGTTGAGATCTCCAAACTTGTCCATTTGGGAGAATTTTCTCTCCCATAATATTTTTTGAGCATTGAGAATGGTTCTCAACCAAAAGTACAGGGTTTTCAAGCCTAGAATCAAACACTGCCTGATGTATATGCTGCTGTATTATATTAGTACAGTGAGAAATATATGACTCATAACTAATAGTATACCCATCAGGTCCTTCCGGAATGGCAGAGGAAGAATGCGTCATAACTACGATGGTGTTGAACCAAATCGCAGAGCCAAACACTTCAGTTACAAGTTTCAAAAGTGGGAAGTCAACATTACCAGCATTGATAAAATCAAGCCGTTCAAAGTACAAAACCACATCTGGAGGGGACTTTCTAATGAATCTCTTTATAGAAAGCATTATCCTCTTATTTTTCTTCATATTGTTAGTGGAGGAAGGCAGGAAACCAGGGGTATCAATAAATGTTATGTTAAGACCGTTGACATTTCCCACAACTTCTTGGATGCAGTTAGTAGCCGGTTGAAATGCACCAGTGGTGGTTTTTGCTTGACCAAATATAGAATTTATGGTAGCACTTTTACCGACTCCTGTTTTACCAAGGACAAGTATTCTGCAGGAGAAATCCAATTCAGGCATACCTAAAGCCTCCTGTTCACTTGCTACTGCTCGGGCTCTATTGCTACTTTGGTTAACTCTTTTAAGATCTGATTCCTTGGTACGAATCAAAGTTGCCAGGTGCATCCGATAAAGAACCTTAGCAACCAAAAGATCTTCTCGTGACTGGCCAAGGCGCTGCAACAATCGGAAGAATTTAACTTGGAGATCCTGAACCTCGGCCAGAGTATCCTTCTGTCTTCTATTAGTGTTATGCTGATACTGATCGACTTCTGTATCTGAAACTAGCTGCAAGGAGGAACTATGATAATTACTCTGATCATCATTTGAAGAGTTTGATTGATCAGAGGGAACGGGTGATGATACTGAACTTGCCAAGCGATCTGAACCTAAGAAAAAAAATATGCATCAGTTCTATCTAAACTGTACTAATAATAGACATTACATTAACAAAAATCAGGTTTAGTACAAATATTTGTTTAGAAATGATATTTCGCTTGGAATATCACTCCACTTCAAGCATCCTAAACCACAAAAGTGTACAAAATAAATCACATATCAATATCTGAAACTGAATACATTATCTTGCATCCCTGCTGTAGGAAAACAAAATCTTTAAATTACTTGTTCCCTGGACTAGATACGAAGAAGAAACCACCTATTTCTCCCAACATCAAAGAACTAACAAGCAGCCAAAAACCTATTGTGTGTTTAGTAACCGAGTGCAGTTATTTGCTGTGTTGCATGATAGTTACGTATGTATTTATTGAATAAGATTTGTGGCATATTTCTGATGGATTGTGCGACTGCATGTTAAATTGGTGGTGGTGGTTTGAAGGAGTATATTCCGTGTTGGGGCAGAGGACTGTGTTAGTGTTGTGTACAATAGATTCTAGTCTAATTCCATAGTTCTTTCAATAAAACCTTCCAGAGGGGTGTGTTTGGAATAACTGCTATTTAAATTATTTCAAGAATCAGTTATATTTTAAAATTGTTGGAAAATGGCTTTAAGATAATTAACATGGTTTGTATACAACAAAAAATCTGTTTTTACGTGACAAAAAAAAAGAGTATGCATGAAACTAAAAGGAGGAAAAAAAAAACTGTAGGAATATAATCATAAGTTACAAATAATCGGATAAAAACAGCTTATTTTTAAATGTACTTCTTACAAATTTCAGCTATTGTCCTAAACATACAACTGAATCACAAACAAATTTTTATTCCAAAAACTGCTTCAATCTTTCAAAATAATCTTTGGAACATGTTTGGGATAGCTTATTTTATTGATTTCGGCTGTTTTAATCGGAAATAAATTTGCTTAAAATTACAAAAATATCTAAAAAAATTTATGTATCTAGACATTTGTAACTTATTATTTTTCAACAGTTCTTTCTCCCCTCAAATTTCTGCATTTACCGGAAAAAAAAAACTCAAGTTTCTCTACAGGACATGTTCTCCTCCAGCTTCATACATACCCCCTCTTATAATGTACTTTGAAAAAGCTGATTTTTTCTGTTGTATCCACACAAAAAAAATTAATTATCTTAAAATATTCTTCAGTAAACTTACCCAAACCAATAATTTTGATTATAATGCGTTATAACAATAATTGATTACATATAATTCTGTATTGAAATAATCTAAGTTTCACAGTTATCCTAAACACACCCTAAGTTTGTCCAAACTTCTAAGTTGAATACACTTCCTGCAGAAATAGAGGGCAGCTATCAGTGCAGAGAGGCCCGCAACTCCTTCCACCTTAATATGCAAATTTAAGTTCTTGAATAAGATAGTTATAGAGAAGTTAATTTTATTATTAAACAAAGATAAGCAAATTTCTTTTACATCCTGAAAAGAACAAATTATTCAATGATAAGAGTGGTCATTTACCTAGCTAAAATTGTTTGGTTTGAATCTGGACCGTAGCCTTCTCGCATAGTAGTATATATCTGCCTCTAAATTATTCTACTGTAGAGGCTCACTCTATTATTAATCCAAGCACAATCTCTATAGTTCCTCTATATGCATGGTGGTGAACCAATGAACAGTGTTTATTACTGGTTCTTAAGGATTGTGAGAACTAATAATAGTCTAAGGATGGCTTAGGAAGATGTGTATACTGCAGTATACAATTCGAAAGTGTTACATTTTACTAAATAACTATTTATCTGCTGAGCTTAACATGCACATAATAACAGAGAAAAACGAGAAGTATCGTCTTATTTCATCAACCGCCATTTTGGGAGGAGAGGAGGAGCATTCCATTATGATCCCATCTTGTGAGAAGTTAACTATGTTCATTTTCAGTGCTCCACTTGAAGTCACAAACAATAAAATCAGGATTGTACCTTGTTCATTAAAATCTTCATTCTGAATTCGATGCTCTCCAGCATAAAAACTATTGCCACCTGATAATGGTGAAGGCGAGACCAGTGATTTGGATAGGATTTGAGAGAAAACCCAATCTCTAACACCTTTCATCCTACTGCAATATATGAAAAGAGAATTCCATAACTCCAAGTAACTAGAAAATGACAATTTAAAACGTTAGGCCAAAGAGATATCTTTGTTTTTCTTAAAGTGAAAATAACACCGCAAAACATATCATAAACATCGGCCAAAAATGTTTATCACATAAACAACAAAACATAAGATTTCTTCACAGGGGATCCTCGATTCAATTCTCGTCTACGAAAGGATTTAATCAATTAGCATATAAACACCAAGTTCCTAGCCGATTGCCCTGTCAATTTTGAAAACATAAACCGTTTTCATTAAAAAAACTTAAGTCAACCAGTGTCGTTGCAACAAAGGAACATGATCATAAAACACTCTATTCCGATACGCCATATACAAATCGGCGCAAATGAGTAAGTCGAGGTACGTGGCAAAGGAAAAATAGCGTGTAAACCTCTGAAACAGAGACCACCAAACGAATTGCAGCAATCATTAAAATTCAACAGAGAAAGATAAAATAAAATAAAATAATAAAGACAAGAATAAAGAAATGTAATGAAAACGGCAAAAACAGTTAGTAAATGGAGGCGCTCACTTTGATATTTGGGCATCAAACACAAGGAAGCATAACACGAAACGCGAAGCCCGGGGCTATTCTCAGATCCCGATAAGCAACTTATGGCCCCGGAAAGAGCCGAATCGACGAGGTCAAATCATTAAGCAAGCAGATTCTACCATTCTCGGAGAAAAAAAGGGGAAGAAGAGTTGTGGACGAAGAATGAGTGAAGGAAGAAAAAGAGTGAGAAAACCCTAATTTGAGAGAAAGAAAGTGACGGAATCGGAAAGGGGTTTGTAAGAGGAGGAGGAAGAATGCGATGAGAACAGGAAAATGGAGATTTGAAGATAAGAGTAAGACAGATTGAGAAGCTGCTCACCTCACCCTCTTATTTACTTATTATTATTATTATTATTATTATTATTATTATTATTATTATTATTATTATATGTATTTTACATTTAATTTTAAGTTGAATTGTGATTGCACCACCACCAACCACTGCAGCACATGCATTCTTGACAGGGATGGCGGCTTTAGTTTTATGTACAATTATTTTTATCTTTCTAATATAAAAAAAAAAAACTATTTTTTATTTAAGAAATTAAGTTGTAGTTCTTAGATATTTATGAACTAAAAAAAGGTAAATATTCAAAATAATAGCACAAGTTATGATTAATATATATTTAATTTAGTTTAATAATCTTAAGCTTTTATATTATTGTAACGAATGAATTGAATTGTGAAAGTAATTAATAAATTGTTTATCACTCTTAATATTGATATAATTGATTTTTGCAATAATGTTATTTAGTTATTATTTTTAATGCATTACTTAACTATCTTAAATGAATGTTGTAGTAATTTTAATTGTTACCTAACTTTTAATAAAAATAAATATTTTACATATAACAATCACAATAAAAATTTAGTTCTTCATTAAAATTATATTTTTTTTATAAAAATAGTTATCAATTTTAATTTTTCAGAAAATAATTTTAAAATAAATATATTGTAAAAACAATTTTTAAAAAATATTTTTATTTTCAAAATTCTAAACTTAAAAGACAATTTCGTAAAAAGTTTTTTTTATTAGTGATATCAATCTTTACCGTGAAATTATTAAAAAATATTTTCTAATTTTTACGATGACTTAAGTCATCTTTCACTTATAATTATTTATAATTATAATCATGAAACAAAATTTTAATATATTTTTAAAATTATTCCTAAATAATTTTTAAAATTAAAAAAAAAATCAACCAAGTTTATTTCATGGTTTGTTTCTCTACTTTATTTTAATGGGATGGGATGATTGATCTTTGATATTGTATTTATATGTTTAAAAAATATGATAGAGGTTGAGGTTATAGTTACACAGTAAGCTTTTATTTATTTATATATAAAATATATAATTATTATTATTATTATTATTATATATATATATATATATATATATATAATAAGTATATATTTTATATATAAATTTGTATAACAATCTAATATATGTAAAATAAAGTGGATAGCTTTAGGTAAAATGCGAGACTTTATATTAATTTTTCTCGACCAGTCTCTCTATCCTATATGACAACGTTGAAACTCAAATGTTATTCATGAAATCATTTATTAATTACTATCTTATAATTGAAATTTTATCATAAATGTTCACGTGAAGTATTTAAAATATGTTTTAAAAATTTAATAATAAATTTAAAATATGTATAGACATTAAAATTAACAAGTATTTGTAATTCTTTTAATTTTAAGAGTTAGATGTCAGTGTTGTTTTATGAGTAGATAGACCAACGTGGATTATTTACTTACCAAATCTTTCAAAGTTAAAGTTTTATTTCTACATCTGGATATTTTGTTGATTATTTTATTGGTAGATTTTTTTTCTTCAAAATTCTACTATTTAATAAGTTTTTATTCTTTCTAGTATCTAAAATATGAATAATTGATAAATTATTATACGATATAAAAAAATAATACAAAAATTTGTTAAATTTTTAGTAAACATATTATGGAAACCAAATTCATAAAATATAAAAAAACTTAAAAATACTCGAAAATTTTAAAAACTAATATTAAACAGTGGAAATTTGAATACTAATTTGATACAAAGTCAACAAATTTAGTAAAAAAAGAAACTAAAATATTTAAAAATTAGTATTAAACAGAAAAAAAATAACAAAGTGATAAGAGTTCACATTTTCATATTAGTTTTTTTAGAATTTTTTATATTTTAAAATTTTAGTTTTTATATTTTTAATTGTCAACAAGTTTTATAAGTATTGTTTTCTAATACTATCTAGTGATAATTAATCACATTTTAGATATTCCAAACTTTCATATAACTTTTAGATATTCCAAACTTTCATATAGCTTTTTTTTACTTTTCTCATTTTATTGATTTTTTTATATTTTGTTGGCTTTTTAATTGGAAGAAAAATATTTTATTAATTCTGCGGTTAAATAATAATTTTTATTTTTTTAGTATTTTTTATAATTTTTTATATTATAGGAATTTAGTTTTCATCATTTTACCTATAAAAAAATTTACAACTTTTTGTCTTATTTTCTTATATTATTTAGGGGTTCATGAGTTAATGATATTTTAGATACTCACACATTCATATAATTTTGTTTTACTATTGTCACTTCTAGATTATTTGTTAACTTTTTTATTAGATAATTTTTTTTACAAAAACTTGTAAATATTTTGGACAAATAAAATTATGAAAACTAAATTTTTAAAATTAACACAAGAGTGACTCTAATTCAGTATCTTTAAAATTCAGTATCTTTAAAATTCAGTTTACAAATTACAATCAAGAGGAACCAGTAAAAAGTAAATTAATTAAAAACACTAATGATGAACACTTCCCTAGAATCTCACTAGGAATGAACACCTCCTCCGAACAAATCAAATAATGAAAAACACCTCCTTTGCAACTAATATACAAAGGATGAACATCTCCCTAGAATCACACTAGGGATGAACACCTCCCTAAACAAATCAAAGGGATGCAAACACCTCCTTAGAATCTCACTAAGGATGAACACCTCCCCGAACAAATCAAAGAGATGAAAATACCTCCCTGAACACATCAAAGGGATGACAGTAGAAACTCCAAACACAAACACACTGCTCAAGAAACAGTGCAACCACCTAAAACCTAAAAAGGGATTTAACAGCAACCACTTAAACCCTAAATAGGGAATTTAACATGAATTTCCTAAACTCACAAAGGATGAAGGCAATAAAATAAGAATAGTCACACCTGGGTAATAGACACAATAAATTGTAGAAGTCTGTATAATGATAACTCCAAGTACACAGTGTGATTGACATCGAAAATGCGAAGGTAGTATGAAAAAGTTTGTTCGGAAAACCTAAAAGTGTTTTGTTGCTTTGTTCAAAATTCTTTTCTCAAAACTGATTAAATGTAAATTGAATTTTCGAATTACGTAATTGTGTATTTTTTATTTTTCATCAAAACTCATTTAAATAGGAAAATAACATAAAAAAATAGTCATTAATCATTAATAATTTCATAGAGAAAAATCGGGATGTTTCCAAAAATATTTATTTTTCAAAAACAGATATATTTTTCAAATTTAAACTGTCATAATTGATTATGCTACCAGTATAATCGATTATGACAAAGAGAAAATCGTTTTTCCATTTCGATGCATCATAATTGATTATGACGAGTGAAAAATGTCATGTTACAAAATTTTATCACACTTGTACTTTGGAGGCTTATGCATAATACTTGCTTCATCAACTTGTACCTCCATATCTAGTATTCTAAAACTCTATTTAGTATTCGGGAATCATCTTGGGTTTGCTTAAATATTGAATGGTTTGAATAATCATATCTTAAACTTGTTTGAGTCTTGAATGTTGTTGACTTGAATCATCATGAAAATCATCTCTTGGAAATGTAGGAACATATTTCATATTTCTATAAAAAAACTAAAAAAAAAAAATAAGAACTAGTATGAAATGTTCGAATTTTGAAAAAAAATTCTCCTGAATAAAAACAAATATAAAAAAGTCAACAAAATGATAAAATTAAAAGAAAATACATGAAAGTGCGAGAAATTCCAAATTTGATTTATTGATAAATCCCTAAATGGTATAAGAAAACAACATTGAGTGTTAAAGAGATTGGCACTCTATTTTCCAAAGAAGTACCTTATAGACTTCCACTTTTAGGAATAGAACATTAAATGGACCCCTTGGGATAGAAAATCAAGTAAGTGACTTGCTGAAGAGGGTTGAGATCAAAGAGAGTCTCAGTCCTTATGTTATACCTAAATCAGATCTTTCATTATTAATGAATTGTATTCTTTTACAGAGAAGATCTAAATCTGAGTTTTAAAGAGATTGACGTTCTATTTCTCAAAGAAGTACCTTATGAACTTCCACTTTTAGGAAATAGAACATTGAGTCTCAGTCTTTATGTTATACTTAGATTAGATCTCTCACTAGATTAGAACATTGAATTTTAAAGAGATTGACGCTCTATTTCCCAAAGAAGTATCTTATGAACTTTCACTTTTAGGGAATAGAACATTGAGTCTCAGTCCTTATGTTATACATAGATTAGATCTCTCATTAGATTAGAACCTTGAGTTTTAAAGAAATGAGATTGACACTCTATTTTCCAAAGAAGTACCTTATGAAGGTCCACTTTTAGGGAATAGAACATTGAGTCTCAGTCCTTATGTTATACTTATACTTTTAGGAAATAGAACATTGAATCGACTTTTTGGGATAGAAAATCATGTAAGTGACTTGTTGAAGAGGGTTAAGATCAAGGAGAGTCTTAATCATTATGTTATACCTAGAACACTCCTTTTTTGAAGTCTCTCTTAATAAAATTCTAGTCAAATCCTTCATCTAGGTCATAACTCACTGGGCCTCAACCAAGACCCAAGACCTAAGGATAGAAGAGGAAGCTTCCCCAGACATGCTTGATTCAACACACAAGACCACAATTTAGAACACAAGGCACGGTCCAAGAGTTTGGCGCGATTACATAACCATGGTCACCCTTCACTCACTCCACTTGGTTACACATTATGGAAACTCCTTGGTATATAAAATTTGGAAAAGGTCTTTCCCAAAGCAATGTGGGATTTTGAGGAGGTGGAATATTAAATAAAGGAGTGGTATATAAACTTTGGAAAAGATCTCCCAAAGCAATGTAGGTCTCTGAGGAGGCGGAATATTAAATAAAGGAGCAAAAAATAACATTGGTTTGAACTAAAAGGAGAGTTGCATCTTGTCCCAAAGCATAGTCTTAGCCAAACCTTTTTCCTAGCTTAATTTTGACCACATACAAGCTAGAAGTCCAAGTTTTATTATTGGTTGCAACTTTAGAGAGGGTTAACGTATATAAACACTTGTCAAGATTAGAAGAGATGGAACTTGAAGGTGTTACACATAAAAAAAGAGGACAAGGTTTAAATATTGGCTACCACAAAAAGGGAATATATCATTTTTCTTTCTCAAATTCGGCCAAAGCACTCCAAACACTCAAGGAAGTCTAAGTTTCAACTCTTGTTTGCAACATTCGAGAATTTTTTGGTATATAAACTTATAAATGTAATTAAAAGTGAGTTAGGTTGGACTTGAAGTTAGGAAATTCGGTGCATAGCCTTTAAAAGCAAATTTTGTCTCACATTTCCCCAGTGAGTGAATGAATAAGAGGGTAACTATATATATAACCCCTTGTGTAACTTTTTTAGTACATTTGAATAAAATCAAAATGAGTGTGTGAAACTTGAGTATTTTGTTTGCATCCCAAATTGGTTTATCTTTCAAGTGTCTTTGTAAATTTCCTTCTCGTATTATCCTAACTCAAAGTGTTGTAAATTTCTTTCTCCTATTCTTGTAACCCAAAATGTTGTTGTTGAGGAAGGGTTTTTTATTAGAAATTAATTAATATCTTATAATTAAAATTTCTTATTAACAATTTACATTAATTATCGTGTGAGGTATTTTGGAAAATTTCAAACATATGTCTAAATATTAATATACACAAAATTTCAATATAAATCTAATAAATATTAGCATTTGTAATAAATTTTTTTGGTAATTTCAAAATTTCTAATTGTTGGAGTGCTAAAAAACTATTAATTAAATATAATTACTAAAAAATTTACATCGGGTTTAGAAGTTTAAGAAACCTATTATACATTTTTCATGGATATCCAACCAATGTTAACAAATTGGCATATATATCCAACCTATGATATATTTCCATATATATATATATATATATATATATATATATATATATATATATATATATATATATATATATATATATATATATATATATATATATATATATATATATATATATATATATGCAATTAATAATAATGTTATCTGTTGACCATTTCAAACTAATTTAATCTCTATTTGTATATTTGAACTTCTAAACTATATGTATCTTTCCATATACTATGTTTTATCTTCGTCTCTAAATTCAATATCAAAAATTTCATAAAAAATTATTAATCATAAATTTTCACCGTAAAATATAAAATATAAATCATATTTATTATGAATTGTAGTTATAATATAATATATATCAAAATTATTTAATTACTATTTAAAATTAAATCATATAAACCAAACATTTGTCATATATAATACATAAAATAAAATATTAATTTATATAAATGAATATTTGCATTCACAACTAAAAAATCTAGATCCGTCACCAATATACAATAGATTGGATAAGTTGTTTTAAGAGTGTGCCGTGAATCTTACCGTTCTAATAATATTTACGAGCATAACTTAGTTCTAAATTGAATGATAATATAAAAATTAAGCTCCCAAGATTATATATATTTAAATACTTATGCACATTTTTAACACAATCGAAATTTCTTCAATCGCATGAAAAAAATTGTCATGATTGTATATAGTCTGTCAATTTTTGCGAATAAAAAAAAGTTTTTTTTTTTTTTTTTTGTGTGTAATTGCTCTGCTAGATAAAACCACACGCGTTTTTTGACCAGTAACTCTAAATTGGTTATTGACATCTTGGACTATTTTTCAATTTAGGTAGGATAAAATACAATTTACATCTTAAGGTATTATTCTTATTACAGAAAGAAATGTTTATCCCATTTTGAGATAGATCAAGGTGAAGAGAAAGAAAGTGTAAAAAATTGTAAGTATAATAAATAATAATAATGTAATAGAAAAGAAAAAAATACAATTAAGATAGAAAAAAAAAGTAAATATATTTAATAACTATATTTTGAATTAATAGTTTGTTACATGTTCTTAAATAACAAATATTTCTGTACACCTCGTTTAAAATTAACTTAATCGAGTTCAATTTATAAATTTATAAATGTTTAACGAACATCGTTAATGTCGCACTAATTTCACTAAAGGAAATTGTGAGCATTCTTTTCCCTTCTGAGCCCTAGTTCACGGTAATGAATCCTAATAATCCCAATTCACAGCAATATCCTCTTCCCGAATTCTTTTTATTAATAACTTGTTTTATAAAGTTATGTTTTTTTAAGTTATGTATTTAAAGTATGGTTTACCAATCACTGAATTAATATTGATAAAATAAACATAATATTATAAATATAACACTAAAAGCTAAAAATAAAACATGATTTTATAAATTCTTATTATTTAGTGCATTAAAAGTTCAAATCAAATATTTTATAATACTTTATCAAAATTTCATGATGTTATATTAAGTATTTTAAGTTAATTTTCTACTACTTTTTCCACAAGTACGTTTCGAGATTTATTTGAATCAGTTACATAACCAGATTTTCATTTTTGGAGGTCTAATCAGCCAATTCAGTTGAGTTTTCTGATCATAAAAATAAAATGGCTGCATACTATCTTTACTCAAACCATCCAAACAAGCCCTTAGGCTTGACTCCAGTAGCCAAGTTGCATTTGAAGTTTTGTTATGGTAGTTCGTACATATGCATCAAGGCCATCTCATAGCACCATCCATCCATATCATGGTGGTATGAGTCCAGTTTGAATGAGTATTTAATTCTTCCCGATATGAAGCAACAACTGCAAAGCCCTCCAAACACTGATTTTCAAAGCACGGGAAGTGAGAGAGATGAGCATAAAACAATTTTAAAGAAATCCAAAAGTTGGAGTGCCTAAAAAATTCTGGCTGGTTTCCAGCTCCAACTTGAAACTGTAAATTCATCTCTGAAAAGGATATATTCGCTAGTTGTGATACGAATACATTATATTTTCCTTTGGTTATGTTTCCTCATGTATGAATGTAAAAGTCATGGCATATCATTGGAATGAAAAATTGATATTGACCATGGCATATCAATGATTTGGACCTTCTATTATGCCAATCAAGAGGCGACCTGTTTATCAGTTGCTTTATAGTAAAGCATCTTCTGTACATAGAACATCATGTAACACTGTGCAGCCCTCACAATGTTCTCATCAACTTGAGTAATCCAAGCATCATCACACTTGTACCATCGATTGCTTAATCGCAGATAAGTAACATAATGCCCAGCATCCAGCTTACCAGTGTGCGTGACAACGGCAAACAACTCAAACTCTGAACACAACTCATCTGAAGCATCAGGGTCATCCCCATCAAAAGGAAAGATCCTGTTCCCAAATCGACTCCTTAAAATTGTTGATGAGAGATACGGTGACATGTCCAGTGAAAATGGGAATTGTAGGTAGCGATCCACCTTCCTGGACATTTTTCTTGTTGAAGAATGCTCAAATCTTTTTATATGAAAGCAAGAAACAAGGGGAAGTTTCCTTATTGACATCTGTTTGAGTGTTTCTTGCCTCACCTGACACTGCCGGCAGAAAAACTTTTGGTCAGAACCCAATCTCTCTGCTCTTGTAAATCTCTTCAAGCATCCCATCAAGGTAGATGTTCCAAAGTTTTGGCTTGAATTCATGCAATCAGCCTCACCATTGCAAGAATGATTTGATGTTGCAGTACCCATTTTGTTAGAACTCCCTTGATTCGGTTCCAAGTCCAGTGAGATGTCTATGCATGGGTCATAAGTAGTTGATGTGAAACCACAGGCCATACATGTAACATCTGATCGCAAGATACCAGAGAATACTTTATGAGCAATACAACAGTCACCATTGCCTGAAATATCAGTGAAAATGTGGTCAATACAAAGATGCTCACTAAAATGACCTCAGTTTAAGAGCAGACCTTACATTGATTATCCCATACATTCAGCAAACAACAAAGGTAGCCCCTGATATTACAGCTGAGGTATTCAAGGGCTGAAAGAAACTGCCAAAAGGATTCCTAAATGTACAACCATTATCGTCTGTTAAAATTAGACTTCTGGAAATGCACAAAGAGCACCAACTCATTTACTTTGCAATTTTAATGACTAAGAAATTTTGTAGACCAAATAATTTACGATTTTCTCTTTAACAATTTTAGGACACAGAAATTAAAAGGTAGAGAGTTGGGACACAATACAGGATCAAGTGATTATCGTCTACCTTGACAATCTCAACTTTTTGGAACTAAAATTTCACAGTCATCAGAATTTGTCTTGATATCCTTATAAGCCAAGCAAGCCAAGAATTTGTCTATTGGTCAAAAGTAATTTAAAATCTTATAGCCTCTAAATATTATGTATGTGAGAACTTTGCACCTCACAGTAACTACAGAACAATATCCCTAGATCGTCCAGAGTGCAGGCGTCCAGTCAAAACAAATTATCTTAAATACAGAATTGATTCTTGAACAGCCAACCCACTAAATTTCACAGCCTCTAATTGATATTATAAGGAAATACATCTTGCATTGAAACCAAGGAATGCCAGTATAAATGACAGAGGAAAGAAAATGGGTGTTCTCATGTGGGACTAACACACTCCAAAATTAGAAAGAACTACATCTTTTAAGGCTAAAATCTTAGCTCAGCTTTCAGAGAACTCAGATTTGTAACATTTTTTTATGGCCGGAAAACTAATGCAACCTTTTCTCCAGGACCTACAAGCTTTGGAACTATAGCCTAAACACGGTAAAAAGGTGGAGTTAACATTAGCATCATTTGGTCTAGAATCTCCTGTATGATGAAACGAATAGGCTAAGCAGAAATTGACTTACACGGACTCACAGGAATGTAGCAGCTAACACCATCACGACAGCAGGTTGTGGTTGAAAATTAGCCCTAAATGTTTGAGCAATTGTCAACTCCTAGGGCAACAAGCAAGAGACCTAAACCCTCACCCTGCAGTTAAATATTATGATAACTCTGTTATCTTAAATAGTATTTCGAATCACTTTGAAATTAAAAAAATGTCAAAGACATTGAAGATAGCAAGACGGCGCACTCTATTGATCTTCTTCTATAATCAGTATGGTTGCAACTATGATTAATCTGAGCTAATTCACCAACTTGTCACAAGTTGAAAAAAGGTAACAGATTGACTTCTTAGTTCTTATAGCAACTCAAGATTGTGTTCTTAACAATCTAATGTTACTGCTCAATACCACAGGGCTCCGCATCATCACTCAGAACAAAACCATACAGTGAAATTTTTCCTATAAAATGGGATCAAAGAAGATAAACATAAATTTTGGTCATTAGAGAAATCTCCTTGATGGCAATAAGAGGAGAAAAGACCAATTTTACAATATTCCCTATGTTAGTTTTGAAAGGTAAAATACCCTAGTCCTATGAACCACAACTAAAATACACAGAAATAAACACATGTCAAAATCATTTGTTGATATTCCAAAACAAACCAGCTTAAAGAATGTCAACATTCCTCACATGTTTTAATTTCACTTTGATATTACGCTTAAATTGAATATCCTAGAAGATTTTGGAATAAATGGCTTTATGCAATAAACCCCCTCTTTCCGAACAAAAAAATATAAACAGTAGCAAGCACTTCACAGAAGGTGAAGATAATAATAACTGGGCGTCACAGTCAGAACACATTACCTTCACTATGTGGCTTACGCCGACCCTTCTCCACCTTCTCATGGATACCATCAAGCATGGAAATGAAAAACTCGTGCGCATCCTGTTGTTCATAACTGGCAAGGTTGGCTGCGTGCTGCCACCAACTGAAACATAGCAACAATAACTAGTCAAATGGATAAACTTTCTATAACAAAATTGACATGAATGAAACTTATATCCTAAATAAGAATTTAAAAAACCATAACTACGCTTATTCAATCACAGTTTACACGCCATCATCATACGCACCTGTATAAAAACTTAGCGGGACTATAGGGAACGCGATCTCCAGAAAACACAGCAGAAAACATAGAATCCATATCGCAAGCTAAGCATATTCGCGCATTCTTGTTCCCATTGATGCCGCCATTTCTCTTCCCAGCAGCACCACCGTCTCCGTCAACGTTGTTCCTTTTCTGACAGAAAAACCGATTATGCCTATCGCTCAAAAAGTAATTTCGCAACGGCGGCGTGTGAAGCAGCGCTTGCAACACCGAGTTCATGAAGCATGTGTTTCCCAAATTGTTCAGTCCACGCAATCCGCGCGGCAAATCCAGCGAAGGATCGGCACCATCGCCGACGATCGGTGCAGAGCAGCTCCCGATCAGAGCGCGCTCGCGCAGATCCGGCGCCCAAGGCCGATAATCCACTCGCCGTTTCTTCCGGAGATTCTCCGGCTGATGCGAGGGGATCGCCAGCGGAGGATCGGTTCCGAGAGTGGACGCGGTGGTCTGAGCAATCACCACGGCGGCGTCGAAGTCGCAATCGTAGACCTGGTCGCGGCACGCGCAGCAGAAGAGCTCCGCGCGGTCGACGTCGACGGCGATCTGGTGACCCGGCGGCATTGAGGCGGCGTGAGCGGCGGCGTGGGAAGGACCGCCGGCCGCCGATGAGTGGCAGGACACGGCAGCGCACGTGACGCAGGCGTAGAGGCGGGAGGGGGCGGAGAGGCCGCAGGCGCTGCAGCGGGGGACCTCGTCGGGATCGCGGCGGAGAGCGGCGCGGCCGCCTGGAGGCTTGACCCGGAGGCAGTTGTGGAGAGCGAGAAATGGCTTGGTGGATGTGCGGCGGAACTCGGCCAAGTGGGGACAGGGCTGGGGAGAAATCTGAGCGTTGATCTTGGGGGACATGGCGCTGATAATGCGGTAACCCTAGATTTGGAGAGCGTAAGATTCATGAATGGGAAAATGAACGGGTGAGATTGGATGAACGCATTGAGATTGATGAGGCTCGTTTCCTCTGCGTTGTGGAGGCCGATACTCCACTCCGTCTGTTCTGCTTCTTCTCACACTTTTCTTTTCTGTCTTGCTTCCCTCACTCTTCTTCCCTACTTCCCTTCTTTTTTGTCTTTTATACAGTTTCCTTTCTATATTTGTAACTATCTAAATATATTATTATTAACATTTCAGTTATGCATTTTCTATTTTAAAATAATCTAACTATTGTATTTCTATGAGAAATAAATAAATAATAATAGTTTATCCCATTCAAAAAGTAATTGCACACAAATGAATCATATCTACATAAGCATATTAGCTAACTATGTTCGAGTTTATAAATGTCCATTAATGCATGTGGATTCGCTTTGAAAATTAATGATAAATTATTTTTAAGTAACGTTTTATATATTCATATTCACCGAGTTTAATAAAACAGTAAAAGAACAGTAACAATGTCAATCTTATTTCAAGACAAGGTTGATCAAAACAAGAAGACATTTGGATTAAAGATGTTTAATGAAATTTGGTTAGTTTGAGTATATAGATGATGATAAAAGTTATTTAAAAAAAGATTCCCATCAAATAAACCGTGTCGAGATCTTTATTGGCTACAACAAAGTATAGTTTTGATAAATGGTTTGTTTAAAAGTCAAATCTGATTAATTAGTGATAATAATGATAAGTTAATACTTAGGGTAAATAATGATATTTAACCGTGAGTTGGTAATATATTAGAGTTAAGAAATTTTCTCACTTTAGACTTTATTTTCTAAGGTTCAAATTTGTGTATTCTAATTAAATGATTCCTATTAGTCGTGACTTCGGTAGTAGGAAAACCTATCAAAGTAAATACATTGAATAAACTTGTTTGTATAATCACTTCTACTTCTACATATATTAATACAGATATTCTTATATTATTTGCATGTCACGTTATGAAAAAATCATAAATTTTTTCAAGTATTAGCTTGGTCATCATTAGCTAAAGCACTACCATTGATATCCTTAGCCATGATGACACTAAAAAAAATTCAACAACATTGGAGAAACAATTAGTAAAAAAATTCATTTAATAATCCCCGCTTAAATTTTGATGAGCAAATACATGAGCACCATATGATTGTAAAAAAATAATCAATTGGTTTAGATATTATTAAAATACAGTATTTTAATTTTAACAATTGGTTACGAAATATAATCAGTATAGGAGAATTATTTTTATTCTAGGTATAAGTCGAGTTTGTTTGTCACTTAGTGGGGACAGTGAAGGTAATGAAATTCAAGCTTCGTTTATATTTTAAAATAAATATATATTTTTTTTTTATATAAGTGACATTCTACAAATGAATAATCTTTCCCTCTTAAAACATAATGGCACTCTTTCCTTTATTTGAAAACAATGATATTTTTCTCTTTTTAAAAATAATGACTATCTTCTGTTCATTTGAACATAAAGACGTTTTTTTTTTCTCTCTTTTTGGACAGCTTACTTAAGTATGTCTTATTTCTCATTTTAGCTTGAATACCATTTTACTTTGATATTCCGTTGTATTTATTTGCAAGGATTCGTATGATTGGATTTGTAATAAAATGACTTTATTTTACATTCCTTCATACTAGTTGAAGTTAATTGTAATTGATTTTAAAATCGAAGATTTTATTTGCCACGAGTCAAGCTTATAACTATTTTGAAGTCTGTGAGACACAAGCCACTACTCCCTTAGTGTAGCATTGAAAGCATCTGCATTTCTCATTTTAACCAGAATAAGCTTGCAATCATCTTTTTGGTCGAATAAGCAAGGATCCTACTCTGTGAATCATAACATAAGCTCAATTGACTCGAGCTTATAAATAAATTACACTAAAGATAAATAAATATATATATATATATATATATATATATATATATATATATATATATATATATATATATATATATCGATGGAGCATCTTTCTTGTACATTTTGAACTTTATTACGAATATATATTCTGAAGCATGTTAAAGTAAGAATATTCAAGTGAAGCGTTTTTGCTGGATTCATAAGTCTGCATTTGAGATCATATTGAATGGAGCAGCCGATCAAATGATCCAAAGATAGAATTGCAATTTAGACTTCAAAAAAACACTTTGTTTTGATAGTGGCAAAAGATAATAACTGGTAGGAAAGAAGGTAAAGTCTTGGAAACAATGGGAAATATTAATATAATAATTATCATCGTTGACATATAAATAAGGCAAGATAAGTCTACTGAAGAAAGTTGCTAATTTATCTGTCCTAATCACTAGACTCCACTCAAATGCATATTCCCCGGAAACGATTTCCTACCAATATTAATTCTCACTTTCTCTTCTTAGAAGGTGGCTGGGGAGTCTCCTCATCCTCTTCCTCTTCATCCTCATCTTCCTCTTCCCCATCATCATCTTCATCATCACCGTTATCATCCTCATCCTCATCCTCATCCCCATCATCACTACCTCCGCCATTAGCCTCAGGATCATCTTCAGGATCCCCTTCTTCATCAACTTCTTCACCAGAGAAATCTTCATCCTCTGCATCATCATCCTCCTCCTCTTGTCCTTCTTCATCCTCATCTCCATCTTCATCATCCTCTGTTTCACTGCCATTCTTGTTTTCTAGATAAGCACGTTTCCTCCCAAAAAGGTCTTCCAAAGGAAACCTAACCAGGATTTAACAGACATAATAATTAGTAACTGTACCATTAATGAGGTAGATTTGACTTCCCAAGTGTTAGGAGATATGTAAACGAGAAAGTAAAGTTTTCTCTATCATGAGGTACTTCAGTTTATTTTTACCTTCCACTCATTGGGATAAAATTTGGTGACACTGGATTAGTGACATTATTCAGCAGATATCCAATCTGGGAGGAAAACAAACAGAAGTAAATTAAAAATATTTACTGAATTCCATGGAATACAGGATAAATGCCAAGAATGGATCTGAAACCAACTAAACCCATGACATACATGTACAGACACTTACCATTCCAGTATCAAGATTTTCAGTTTTTAAAGAAAGAAACCAAGATGAAAATCCTAAAATTATATATTTCAAATACAGTTTTTACTAAATCAGCAAATAAATAAATGCATAAATCAGTACAAGTACCAAAAACATATCACAAGAAGTCAAAAGATTGGTTCAAGACCATAAGAAGCCACAATCACACCAAAGCAGAACATAAGTATTAAATGTGGATCAGGATTAGAAGGCAAGCAGACCCAGCGTAGCAGGCCATCCTATGAATACAGCTTGTAACCTGTCAATAGTTTATCTAGTCTCAAATCCTAAGAAAGACAAAATGAAGTGTTGCTAAACAGACCGACTAATGGGGAATACAAATGGACTGTTGTTCTTTTGCAGCATTACGAGGAAAATAATTTAGTTTTTCTTCTGTTTTGTAGCATTAGGAGAAACCCCGCTCTACTTGTTCCTGATCAGTACAATACCTTGATGTAATACTAACTAAAAAACTGAGAAAAAAGAACCACAAAGAATGAGAAGTTATGGATAACATCCAAAGACAAGGCAGGCACCAGCCATGTAAGATACCATTCCACTGTAGCAAAATGTCCCGGCATTTTCCCAACTCCCAAATCTATAGTTGGAACCCATCTATACTGCAATAGTTTGTACATTGAACCAACAAAAGCAAAGCATCTGATAACATATTTACTGATGACAAACATTACACATGCAGAAAGCCCTGAAACACATCATATTGCACATAAGCCTGTAGCACACAAAGGAAACAACAATCTAGGACAAACAACACTAAACGGACAACTGGAGGTGGAACACAAATGGAGTGCAAAATTTTACTTACATTCAACACAGTTACACTAAACACAATTGTAGACAAACCCTAGAGTAAATGACAAACACTTGTATGCAAATTAAAATCCCTGCTTTGACCTAACGAAGCACGGTGTACATGGCAAGCAAATCAGTGAAACAACTAAAACCTATTGCCGGTAACGCTCATTCAGCTGTTAACGAGCTGTTAATATACTAAAACACATTGTAAGAATGTGAAATTGAAGGGGTAAATGCTGTGGAAAGAGAAAAAAGGGGTTTTGAGAGAGAAATACCAAAGAGATAGATTGCGCGGCCGCGAGAACAGTGTCGGCGGCCACAGCTTGGAGAAGAGAGGGCATTTGGAAAACCGTGTGAATTGGAATCTGAAGCTCCATTGCAGAAACAGTATGAAGCTGAAAGTGTGAGAAGACAGGTCAAAGGGTTTGGTCCGAATCTGATTACTGATTATAGTAAACCCCACAATCTCCACCGTTTAGGGTTTTTTGAACCAAATTGCTAGCTATTTCTATTGCCACTCCTAAATCATTATTTCCACGCCAGAATCTTTTTATTTTGGTGGAAGTGGATATAACAATTTTCTATCGGTTGAGTAAAGACTTTGGATCTTGTACCCCTTTTGGGCTTTGGCCCATTCTTTTTTTCTTCTTTCCTCAATTTACGCTCCAATCATGATGGGGACCATTTTTGTGAGGGTTTCCCAAGTTAGGCATTAATTATGTTCCCTTTTCCAATGCTATGTAATCAATTACACAATTAATTATCACTACTTCGAACAATTATAACTTTAGCATAACTTGATGATAACAATTTTACATATTATTGTATTTTTTTTATAAAAAATATTATTATTAATATGTTTATTATAATATTATATTAAAAATATAATTTTATTATATTTAATTGAATTGGTTAAATCTTTAAATTTTAAAAACATCTTTTTATAAATTTTATAATAAAAAATCATTATTTTAGTGAATTTTATAAATTCCTAAAACGGACGGTTTAAGGGATTGAATGGTATCATCAAGGATCGCAGTTAAACTCGTACTCATGGGTACTGACATGTCCCCCTCCTGAGTTTAATGGGGAAAACCCGAATTGATCAGGGACGGGACGGGATGGGTTTAGATTTTCTCGCTTTAGAAAATCGGGGACGGGGCGGGGATGGGTAATGCAATCCCCACCTCGACCCGATCTCGTCCATGCCTGACTTTATATTTAAATTTAAATTTTAAAATATTAATATTTTAAAAATATTTCTTTTTCTTTTTCTATTACATATAAGGTCATATTTTTATATTTCACCAATTTTTTTTCTTCTACCCATTTTTTATTTTTTTCTTTTTTAATCTTTTATATCAATTAATTTATTACATTATTCTTTCTTTTACTTTTCAGTTTTTCACATTTCCTTAATCTCTCCCATCAATTCGTTTTTTTTCAATCTTTTCAACCAATTTGATGAACACAAAGTTAATTTTTTTATTCTTTATCTTTTTCTAAATATTTTACATAAATCTTAATAATAACTAATATTATTTTATTTATATTTATTAGATTTTATTATGTCATATTTTTTTATCTTATTATTCTTATTTATCATATATCAAATTTTATCTTAATAAAATAATTATATTTTAAAGGATTAAAGAAATTGATAATTTAAACTTTTATTACTTCGATCTAATTGAATAAGAATTAACTTATTAAATATTTCCTTATAAACTATATATTTCATATTTTTAAATGACAACTTAAAAATGAATTAACTTATATATATAATCAAATATTTGAATACATTATTATAATAATAATGTTATAAGTATTTAAATATTTGAATACAGTATTATAATAATAATAATAATGTTATAAATAAAAAATGATTAAATATTTCTTTTACATACATATTTTAATATAAATATAATAAATTAAAATGTATATTTAATTAATAATAATTCTAAATTATAAATATTTATTTATATATAAAAAATAGATAGTAAATTTAATTTATTACAAATATAATTATTTTTTTAAAAATAATATAGATCGAGGACGGGACGAGAAACACGAAACCCAGGTGAGGACGGGGATGATTAAAAAGGTTAGGAGTAGGGATCGGGAGGCAAAACCTGCCCCCTCCCGCCCTGTTGTCATGCCTCTCGTCACGAATCAATTCAAATATTAGTTTGTTGTTTCTAAATTGAAATTTAATTAAACTGATATAAAATCGGAAAAAAAAATTAGATTTTATTTCAAACTAATTTTGATTAAAAAAATTAAATCAAAGTTTTTTAAATATAATTTTTTATGAAAGATGTAACATATTTTATATTTTTTTATCTTATATTAATTTTAAATAATAATTATTTTTACCATATATTTTATTTTGTTTTAATAATTGTTTTTTTATATTTTTTAATATATTTTATATTTTATAGTTTTTACTATAATATATGATAACCGTAATAGTAGTTTTTATTATTTTTTATAAAAATATTATTATTCATAAATTTATTATATATTTATTATTATATTATTTTTAATAAATTATAAAAATATTATTTTATTAAAATCAAATAACATTTAAACATTGTTCCTCATGTATTTCACATATTATTTACAAAGTTGAAATCAAATTATATACAGTAAAGCACATTCACAATTCTCATAATAGGAAAACAAGAAAAATGAAAACATAATAATATTTGATAGAGCAAAAATGAAAACAAGAAAAACATAACAATGTAACGTCAATATCTAAAAAAAAAACATAATCTAAATATTAGATAAAAAAGAGTATTTAAATTTTCTCGTTCATGGACTTCCTTCTTTCTCTTGGTCGACATTGGTAGGAGATTATTTTCTTTACGTGGGAAACTTGTAACATTATAACCATTTTTCTCAAAAAAAAAACATCTTGTATTTTTCTTTTTCTAATTCCTTCACTTAATTTTAGATCTCTGTCTGTGCATATGTGGCCTCCTCTTCAAAGGAAGGTTAGAATTTGACCTTAGAAAAGGCTATAAAGTTGAACGTTATTAAAGAAACAAAATTATAAAAAAAAAATAGTCCATAAATTAAATAGAAAAAAGATACTTTTCTAATAAAAAATGAGTCGGAAAGAAAATATCACTTATGTTTAATCTGATCAATTTAAACATTAAAAAAAAAATTGTATACCTTAAACTAACATTTAATTGAAAATGATAGTATATAGAAAATTTATTAAAAATTATAATAATTATATTTATAAAATATCATTAGTGAATAGCGTAAAATTTTATATATTAATAATATATAATTTTTAAAATTATATCTTCATACTGTCTTTCAATTACTCTTTTTTTTTCATGGTAAGAGTTAAATGTGTTATATTTCTAAAGCATTAAGTACATTTAATATTTTTTATAGTGGCCAGAAAATTTGGCAATAAAATTCATCATTGCTTTTATCTTAATTATTCCCAAAAAATAATTATCTTAATAATTTTTAACTCTGGAAAGTCCCCTTCCAGTGCCAACTAAAAAAAAAGGATTTTGGAAACGAATCAAAACAAACTACTTTTATTTGACATTTGATATAAATGAAGTAATCTCATATTTTGATTTACATTGATCTTTTTAATAAAAGTCAAATCAAATCCTTGTCCTCTAACCACTGTATCATTATCAATATTCAATAGCCTTTTTATTAACATTATGATTCAGATTTTAAAAAAGATGTATGTTATTCAATTTAAAACTTGTTGATAAGAAGATAAAAAATATATAATTTTGTCCTTATTAATTATATATAAAATAAGTTTAATCATAACCTTTTAAAAAAGTTCAAAGAATTTCAGGAATGGTCACAAATATCTATATCTAGCATTATCTATGGAAAGAGAAAAAACAAATACTATGAAATATATTTAGTATATCAGAAAAAAATACCTGAAATAAAATTTGCAGTTTTCAGCACCCATTACACTGATAATGTGAAGCTGATGAATGACTGAAACTCTATTCAAGCACAACAATTTCAAAAACTAAACATAGTCATCAGCATTAGCACAAGCAAGGTTGGCACATAACCCCATTATGATTACTGACTTCATTGTATGAGGGGTCTAATGAGGGGCAAAGTAGACGCCACAACTGAGCGACAAAAGAATTGTGAAAATGGGTGCTACCTAGCAAACAGTAGTTGAGTTACAATTAAATCAAAATTCAAAACAGACAGCTAACAGCATGCCTTTCAATAATCACTATATTTTTTTAATGACAGATCAATAGTGTTTTAAGTGTATTTTTCACAGCACATCCTATGGTTTATGAATTGCATGATCTCCAACAGTTTAAGGGATGATTATATTCATAAATTTCCTCTTTGCAAATGCCAACCACCATTTATTTGGAGTGCCATTAGGTCTGTATGCAACGCTCAATAACCTCCCACTTGTTTCTTCCCTTATCTGCTTCAAATAATTTCTGAATAATTCTGCATTGTTGAAATCACAAAGCTTGAAATATAAGAATACAAATATATATATATATATATATATATATATATATATATATGGTCAATAAAAATGGTTGAGTAAATTGCAACTGCATCAGATAGAGTATACAAAATAACTTATAAAAGTTCAATGTGGAGCTACACGCAATCTTAAATTGTCAATATGCAAACAATCTTTAATCATTAAGTAGTAAAGTAATGAAAATTCATAAAGAAACATATATTACAGTCATATTAAAGAGCTTCAACACACTGTTCGGACAATGATAGATCATCAGCTCTATGAAAAAATATGTAAAAAGTCGCTTGACATGACTCTTTAAAAAGACTCAATGACTAATATACACCAGGAAATAAAAATCCTACATATATTGGTATAAATTCAAGCTGAAAATTCCCCATAGATGCAGAAAGTAATAGAACTGAGGTTTCCATTCTGAGGAATTTTTTACATATCAAGGAAGTACATATTACATATTTTATAGAGTATTTATATACTTTCTATTTCTTTTAGTTGGATCAAAGCAGAAATGAACCTGAACAACACTGCAAAATTTGGATTACAACAGCCATATAAAATCACTTATAGTTAGTAAAGTTTGTTGTTTAAAATGAACCTCTGAATAACAGTTTTCCAGACTTGAGTTATCCCTTCACATCTCTGAGCAGAACCAATGCATTAGCTTTTAGTATCACTCCATTCCATGTTTGTATACTGATAATTATCCTACGATATTCCTATCTTGCTTCATGCCTAGAGTTATAACTACATCCTTACTTTTCAGAAACTGATAATGCATGAAGATATTAGGAATTGTTCGTAATTAGCCAAAGACTAAACCTTCCTTGTTGGGTGTGTACTCAAAATTCATAAAGATTAAGCAGTGATACAATTTCTTGTCTTTCAAAAAATGCCACCCCCAAATTAAGGCACAGACACACTCATTTGGTCATGTGAGTTTTAAAGTGAACCAAGCTAGCAAATGTGAAAATGGTGTCAAATTTCGGGTAAGGAATTGATTGAAATACAATGACTAAGGAACTATTCAAATACATTTTCACTGACTAAGTCCTAAGTGCAATAGCCAAGGAATCAATAAATATTTATTTTTATTACAAATCACAGTGGAAAAGAATTAGTAACATTTAACCACCGTCATACTTATCAATAAAAGCTTTCCACGTTTTAATCCTTAACTATTACCATAGGGCAATGTATAGTAAAACCAATTCAAATATAAAATGCCAGAATTCTTGGAAGGTGGGCTCCAATTAAATAACTACTTAGACAATTAAATATTATGATTAAACTAAGCTTATGTATCTATTTATAAGAACATAAAGGTGAAGGAATAGTGATTTCACCTGCTTCCTTGTGTGATTGAGGAAGGGGGAAAAGGCCAGGAAATGGAAAGCCAGACTCTCCAGGGACAGGAACCTTTTCGAGACCCAAGTTGATGATTGCCTTGGTTCCTTCAGCTAAGGTTCTGCAACCTTCAAGCCTCTTGAGAGCGATGTTAATGTAAAAGGTCAAGTATATGAGAAGCTTATCAGCAGGGCTCTTGATGTCAAAGTTTCTGAAGAACACATTGGCTCGGAAGAAGGTGATGGCTTCATCCACGATGTCAGTTGTATCTGCACCACACATCACAGTCAAAGCACATCCCATATTCAGAAAACACAAAAAACAGAACAGACCAAAAATAAATCGAAACCTTGATCTGAAACAGGAGCAGGTCCCTTAATGTGGCTCTTAAGAGGAAGCAGAGGACACCCACAAGCTCTACTCACTCCATCTTCATTCACAAAACTAGAGTGATAAACCTTTCCGCACACAACAACAACGACGACGACAATAATCATTTTCAATTGGGAATACAATTTGACAACACCCAAAGTTATGAAATTTGAATAAGAATGAATTGAATTGAGTCGAAATGAATTGAATTGAACCCCCGTACCATGACTACGTGGCGACGATAAGAACAAGAATTGCTCAAAAGAATTCAATTGCAACCCCAAGTGTTTCTGGAAATGAAGAAGAAGAAGAAAGAAAACAATTCAGGAATGTAAATATGTAATTGTTTGGAATAATCAATAAATGCATACCAAACTAGCGCAAGTCGGAGTAAATTGAATAATTTAGATGCCAAAATTGTTAGGTGACGTGAAATCAAGATTGTGAACAAAGTAATGATTTGTGGGAATGGGATCTGAGAACAATGATAGTGGTTAGTTTATTCTTCTTTACACTGTCAACAACACTTAGCAGACAAGTAACGAGAACTTTGGAAATTTTATGTGGGCCAATCCTAGCATGAGCCCAAACTCATTCATCTAAAACGAAACATTTTCTGCCCGAAAAGCCCAGTGGGTTGTTTCAATTGACAGAACCATTTTGGAAAATGTTTACACCTTCATCTTTCTTTGTGCATCAGATACCTTTAAAAAAATTGAGGAAAATATTCTGAAATGGTAGAAATTTGTTTCTGTATATAAAAATGGATTATTATAATAAAAATATAATTGTTTACCATACGTTAAAAAAATTAGTGGATAAACAAATTCAATTAGTATGACATAATATAAACTATTAATGCCACACAATTTAATCCTCAAATTGTTTTTATTTGGTACACACGTCAACTCTTGACCAAATAAGAACAGACGATAAGTAATGAAATAATGTATACAAAAATCTTAAAGAAGACAATACAATAATAAATACACGAGACGATAATAACGACCAAGGTACAAGAATGACTTCACCACTTGGACACGAAATTGACGACACCACAATAACAACAAATCCCACCACAAAACAGAGATATTACGTTAGAGAAGGTTTCTTCGTAATTTGGGAAATCAATTTTGGAATTATTTTTTAAAATTTATTATTCTTTTCAATTTTTAAATAATATAAAAAATGATATTATTTCTCACAGTGACATTTAAAATATACATTAATATTTAATAATTAAAAAAATATATAACTAATAATTAAAAATATAACAAAATAAATATACGAAAAACATATTCACGTGGGGTTAAAAAAAACATTGTTCTGCAATCCAACCTACCAAATGTACCAATCCACTTACACCCACATACAAGTAAAAACTATCCATCCATATGTACTACACACATCCCTGTCTCTCTGAAATTTTATTTATTTTTTAAAATTAAATTATTATTTGTAATTTTTTATTTTTAAAGAAATATATATAAAAAATTATAATGTTTACTCCTGATCTTTTTGTAGCGGCTTCCCCTTCTATCTATGAAAGGATACAAACCTAACAAAATAGCGTTATTTTGTAGTTTTTTCTTAAATTTATAGTTGGATTCTATTTTATCTGACTTGCCTATCAATAAAAAATATGATCCGAAATATATTTTTAAATAAATTATAAATTTCACTTAATTTGATTTTATATTAGATTAATTAATTAATTTTAATCTTATTAAAAACATTAAAATATTTTCGTGTTCACAATTTTTTATATTTAACTTCTTTTCAATTTTTATTTTATTTTTTCTTTTAAATTTATCCATTTTATTTTTAAATACTTAACTCACGTTAAGGATTTTATAATGTCATTTATTTCCATTCAAACTAAATGAATCGGTTGTAGCTTATGGTTTAGCAAAATACGTGAGTTGGTGTAAATCCTTAACGTGAATTTAATTTTAATGAATAATGATAATAACAAAACTAAATGAGTTATGCTTCTTAAGACAGAAAAAAATCTATTACAATGCATATTTGTTCTTCGTTTTAACCAGTTTTTTATTTTCATCAAGAACCCGACAAATCTGAGTTAAATTCGAGTTGTTTATGGAATGTAGAGAGATAATAATTATTTTTATTCTAATAAAAAAAATATTATTCTCCACAATAAAATTATGTATATAAATAATAAACATATCTAATTAGATAAATAAATTAAAAAAACTATTTAAATTTTAAAAAATAATATATATGCTATTATATTCTTAATTTATTATGATCAGAATAAGCCAACCTGTTTAAAAACAACATTTATTAAATAAAAAATATTTTAAAAAATAAATTTCAAACTGTTTTGAAAAATACATTTATAATTGTTAGTTTATTTTATAAATTTAACTTTTCAAATAGTAATAAAAAAATTAAAATAAAAATTAAATTAAATTGTTAAGACATTTTACATCTTTTTAAATATATATTATTTAAATTTATTTTATAAATAAATTTTATTTTATCTTTTAAAGAATGATCTGTCAATTCATTTTTAGGTGAGACACGTGAAGATGTCCAACCCGTTTATTCAACTAGTGGCTCCAATTGAGCCACACGTTTTGTCATCTAGCAGCTACAAAGCTAAATTTGATTGACAAATACAGTTACTGACAAAAAATTGAAAAAAAAAATGCACGTGGAAATTAAACATTGTTGCAGTTACAGGCAATCCATCTCCTCACAAAGACACAAAGATACTTAATTCTTACAAATTATCACAATTGTTGCTTAAGATGGTTAAACCAAGCCATGTCCTCACAAAGACACAAACATACTTAATTCTTGCTAGTCCTATGCTTGTTTACCACAATTGTAGCTTAAGATAGTTAATCAAGCCTGCTGTAGGATAAAGAATGATATAGTCAATGAAGCTAACTGTACAAGTCAATTCTAATGGAAGAAAGCTACCGTGCAAGAAGCACAAATAATCAATTAGATTAAGCTAGTAAACGATGAGGTCAACAAGTATGGAAAATTTGCTGGCCCTCGTTGCTGAGCAAGCTCATTAATGTCCCTCACGATGTCAAACACGGCCTCTGGTTGTGCTAATTTAAGTGCTTTCTCTGACATTGTTTTCAGCTCATCTGATTTTGTGGTGAACCAATCGGCCACTATTCTTGCGGTTTCCTTAGGACTACGGGTGAAGACACCAGCTCCATTGTCTACCACGTATGGCACATTACCTTTCTCCTGTAGTTATCACAATTCCAGCTGAGAATCAATATGGAATAGAAATAATAAACGAAAAGACTAAATGGCAATTTAATCACCCACCTGTCCTGGGATGTAGTCATTGAGAATTATGGGAAGCCCTCTGATCAATGCTTCTGCAATTGTACCTGGTCCAGCCTGAAAATTTCAAAGAACCAATTAGCCTATATGCTAACAACATATGAAGGAGGACATAAAGAGAAAATTGCTATAACTTACTTTTGTTATGATGCAGTCACAGGCTCCCATCCATTTGGCCATCTGGGTCTCAAATCCTCTTACCTACAAAAACCAAGAAACAAAATTTCAGTGGGTGAAAATCCATTATGCTCATCATCTGCATGCTGTACTATTAACTTAGTCAGATATCACACAGGTTTAAGGCAAGTGAAGCAACTTACCTTTACTGGAATCTTCCATTCAAGAGATTCAAGAGTAGATACTAAATTCTTATTACGACCACATATGATGATTAACTGCCCAATTGGTTTCTCGGCTTCTTTATTGAAAAGTGATTCTCCTAGAGCCTTTGCAGTTTTCTTGACAGGCCCCATTCCTTCACCACCCCCCATCAGCAAAACTGCTGGCAAGTTGGGATCCAACCCGAGTTCTTCTCTTAATTGATCCTACAGTAAAAGACAGAGTTAGTGCCAACAATGAAAGCAAAACCACTCCTATAAATTTGACATGCGTACCTTCACAAGAACCGCCCTGGCAAAAGAAGGCCTGATGGGTAAGCCAAAAACACGGATTTGAGATTCCTCAAGGCCATCTTGAGAGGCTTTCTTGGCCACCTCTTGTGAAGGGCAGTAGCATCTATTCACCCAAGGATGAAACCTGGAAACAGCTTGAAAGTAAGACTTTGAGCGTGTAAACTTTGATTAATGAACTTTACTTCAAAGCATGAAAAATAAAAAAAACTGCAATGAATATTACCAAGTAGGATGGCATGTACTAAGGTCCGTGATCACTGTGACAAAAACCACTTTCTTCTCCAAACCTTGCCACTTCAAAACCCACAATGGAATATGCTGCATTAAGGGATGGACACTGATTATGATATCTGGTTTGTACTCCATCAACCCCGCCTCCACCTCCCTGACAAAAAGAGAAATGCAGAGCCAATTAGAAATAAAAACATAACGAACATTATTGCAATAATTGAAAGTGAACAATGATTAAGTGCCAAGTTGTCCATAAAGACATCTTCCCTTTTCACCATCAAAATTAGTTGTCAAAACTATTTATCAAAGTTAGTCATAGAAATGTACCTAGCATAGTATGCAGCAATGGCAGCCAAATACACAGAGTGAATCCATCTAGGAGAAGTACTATGAAACGCAACGTTCCATAACTGCACATGCTTAACCATGAATTTATATTGCCCCTCCATGTCATTCAACGGCCACCCAGTGTATTCCTTCCAAACATCCTTAACAAATATCTGAAAATTGAAAAGTTTAGTTAGACCAGCACCGAAACGTAAATGAAACAAAAACTTCTTATTGGCACGAAGTTATTTCTTTCCAAAAAGAAAAAAACTGTGCAAATAACTCCAAGAAGAAGAAAAAAATTGAAAGTAGCGACAAAGTCCGTGTGTGACCATAGAGCAAGACATGCCAAAAAAAAAAAACTAAGGTTACAGACACCAGATCTAATCCAAAATAGTTCGAGAATTGAAAATTGATCTGTTTAATTTACTTCATGAACTAACTGAATTATAGTTCGTCTTATTTAATCCATGATCTGGGTACAGATATATCATTTTTTTTTGTATAAATTATATAAAACACACAAAATATCTCAGACCAGACAAACAAAAAAAAAAGGTTTAAAAAAAAAAAAAAAAACTAATCTAACATAACTTGTTCTTGGAAAAATGAACAACAAGAAGAACCAAAAAAGGGTGAATTAAGGAAAAGCAAATGGAGGGATAAGATTACCCGGTATTCGTCACCGAATTCAATTTGAAAGGCGTCACGGATGGCTTCAGCGGAGGCTCTGTGTCCGCCACCGGTATCGCTCATGAGAATTAGCACGTTTTTGGTCCTTTCAGCGCCAATCTCCATGAGTTCCATGCCTCCATCGCTGTCATCGTCGCGAGCGTCAGTGACACGCTTCTTCTGGCTGCTACTCCCATTGTAGTACCCTCCGAAGACCTTCTCCGCGATGGACTTTCTCGGCGAGGCCGCAACGGAAACCTCCATATGTCTAACAGAGAAACAATGCCTCAGGTAACGGTCAAACCCGTTCCCGCCACTGGAACCGGCGGTGCTTCACCGGCGGAGAGATGAAGAGGGAGAGTGGCAGCGGCTGTTGTTAGGGAAGAGAGAGAGAATGATTGGTGCAGAGTAGGCGAAATTGGAGGCTCGCTGGGAGGCTTGTAAAGTTAGTAGATTTGTTTGGTGTTATAATAATAATGATGGAGAATGGTGTGGGAATTATGCCATGGAATTTTTGGCATCAGCACATGATAGCGGTTGGATTTACTTTTCCTCGTGGAATGTTCCGATTGCAAGATTCGAATCTTGGTCTTGTTTCAAAACCCAGTTTAATTGAGTTGTGCAATACCATTTGTTAACCCACACAATAACACGCTATTAACTTTCTAATAACTTCCAAAATAGTACGATGTATTAATTTCTTTCATATTCTAAATTTAATTTATGTATTTGTTTTGAATAAGTTAATGAAATTAACTTCTCATGAAAATCAAGTGTTAAAAAAAAGGGTGAGAGAATGTTAGTGTGAATATAATTTTTGGAGCAATAATTTGTACGTCTGATACCTTTTTGGTCGTCGTTTAGCTTTGTAAGTGAAAATGATGCGTTTACATTTGATTGGTTCTTGAAATACTTCCTTGGACTGGCTTGCCCTCGCACATTTAATGCCTGGCCATAGCTTATAAGCAAGGAGGTGGTGTCCATTTGCTTTTACGGAAACTAAATTTGAATTTATCGTCAATATACAATTTGGAATTTAAAAACTGAACCACACACACACACAAATATATATATTGAAAATAATTCAACTTTTAAAATTTCTACAAATTTACAAATTTTCTTAAGAACAGTGAACAAACTGTCCCGTAACATTAGAAAAATAATAATTTGTTTTAACATTTTAATATTTTTTTAGTCTTGTTCATCTCACCAATAAATATTACGAATAGAGTAATTATTTTGATTTAAAAATAAAAGAAAAAAAAACGTTTTTTAACTTGATTTTGCAGTTATATTTTCAAATTAATGAGTTAGTTTCAACCTTTTAAAAATATTTGTTCAGTTTTTATACTTAAACTTAATGTATAGTAAAACAAATTATTATTATAAAATTAAGAGAAACATTAAATTTACGTATTTTTTATGATTAATTTAAAATTACAAAAATCAGAACCGGATTTAACTAAGAATAGAAGCAAGAAAACATATTTTTGTAAAAAAAAAGTAAAGTAGCAATAATTAACAGAGAATATCCCATGGATTGTGCTAAAGTTGTAAGGCAAAGGTTAACGTTGGAAATCTCTGAAGTGCACCCAAAATGCACTCGTATTTTTCAGACTTGGTTTCCTTGACCTTTAGTTGAGAGTGACTTGACTATTATTAGTGAACTAAACCTACTTAAAACAAATCTACTTTATCCAAGATATATCTAAACGATATTATTCCAAGCAAACTATAACTAATTACCATCACCATGAAGAGGGTAAACAATATTTATTTAATTACTATAATTATTGTGTAAACATGTTTTTTAACTAAATACCAATTATATATATATATATATATATATATATATATATATTAAAAACAATTAAATTAGTGTACATAAATATATTAGATTATTACTACTGTTATTATAACTTGTGTTTTTTTTTATAAAAAACTTGGATAAGATTTTTAAATTTTTCAGATTTTCTTATTTAAAATTGGAAACTTTGGGTCTATTTATATATTCTCCAGTTGGTCTCCTCCTTTATGTCTTCTTATTACAGTTGAAATTTTTAGTTTGGTCACTTACAATTTTAATGGGACGAAAAGTTTTATTATTTTATATGTGTTAAGCATTTCTGTGGTAAAAGAATCGTTCTATTTAATCCCTTATTATGCATGCCAACGGGGTTTTGTCTCTTTTCCGATTTTTCTAATCAACCTTATCCTCTGATTTTTATTGAGGTTAAAAATTGAGTTATTGTCGTTATTCTTGTTACATTTCGTGTTAATCTATTCTTATTTTATATTATTTAAAAAAAAGTATACATAAATTAATTTTTACGTTATTTTTTATATATTATTTATATATAAATAGATATTTATAATTTTAAAATTTTAAAATTATTATTATTATTTATTAAATATATATTTAATTATATATATATATTTAATCATTTATATATATATATATATATAAAATAATACTTATAATATTTAAAATATAATTATTTAATTAACATAAAATTTAATATATGATAAATAAGAATAATAATATTTATATAGTATAATAAAAATAAATTATAAATGAAATAATATATTTTATTAAGAGTAATATATAATATTTAAAAATGAATAAAAAAATTAATCGATGCCTTTGAAATTAATTTTAAATATTAAAAAAAGTAAAAGATAAAAATTAATAATATATTAAACTGACCGAAGAAATTAAAAAGAAAAAATAAAAATAAATAAGAGAAAAATGAAAAATGTAAATAAAGATCTATAATTTATATATTATAAAAAATTGAAAAAATATTAATAATTTTAAATTATATTTAAATATAAAATAGAAAATAAAAATAATAACCAGTCTAATCTTTTAAACTAGAAAATATTTAAAATCTGTCCCTTCGTATACATTGGTTGTTATCTGAGTCTCTAATGTCAATCTTTTATCTTATCAAAATAATAGTATTACAAGTTTCTTAAAAAAGACTAATTAAATGAGATGATCTTGGAGATAATAACACTTCAGTTTCTAATTATTTATATTTTATGAGATAAATTGTTTAACATATTTTTTTCAAACCTTAATTATATAATAATCACTGTTGATTGTGTAATTGGCATGTGGTATCGTGGCGGGAGAAACATGGATTCGGTGGCAGGCTTTTGTGATTTTTTTCCAGCCTGTGATTGCTTTGCTTTAAGCAAAAGATATGACGTACACTATGCATTATTTCTATCTTTCACCAAAAGAGAAAAAAAAACACGTCATCCTTATTTTAGTGTTGGTTGGAATGAATCAGAGGTGGACATAAATAGATTAATAATTAAAATGAAAAAAAAAGTAAAAGTGAAAATAAATAAATAAATATATATATATATATATATATATATATAATATTTTTCTTACACACCAATGTCACGTTTTATTATTATATATTATAATAATATTATGAAAGAAAACTTCATAATAAAGTTGTTTTCTAAATTTATATATATATATATATATATATATATATATATATATATATATATATATATATATATATATATATATATATATATATATATATATATATATATATATATATATAGAAAAGGAGAAGGGACATAAAATTTCAATAAGTAGTTATCTCTCTTATCCTTCTTTTTTGTCTAAATTTTAAGTAATGAGATTTTACTCATACAGGATCTGATGAAACATAAGAGAATTTGGATACTTGGATTAAGTAGGAAAACTTTAGTAGAAATATCATACAAAGTAAGGAAAAATTTAATTCATTTAATATATGAAACTGAATTACTAGATATTTTGTGAATAAGGAATAAGAGTAGAAATATGAACTATTTAAATGTCTGATTTTGAAGAATTTCTTATTTTGATGACTCGCTCCTGGTTTTCCTGTTTTGAAAGTTTTGAAATTCTTAAAATTAAGGATGAATTATATGAAAAAAATTGTTGTTTTTTACTTAAATTGAACATATTTCATGTTTAATTTCAATTTGAAACTAGTTTGGTTGCACTGAAACTTGAAAATTAGAAATCTAGAAGAATCCGACATGGCTACTGGGCGAGAGGAAGAAGAAAGGGATATAATGGGAATTTTTAAAAAAAGATCAAGGGTAAAATAGTCATTTTACATCCTAGGGACAGAAATGGAATTTTCAAAAATATTCAAGGGTAAAATAGTCATTTTCGGGATATGAAATAAATTTTTGAAAATGTCTAAGGGTAAAATAGTCATTTTCGGGACATGGAAGGAATTTTCAAAAATGTCCAAGAGTAAAATAGTCATTTTCGGGATATGAAAGAAATTTTTGAAAATGTCCAAGGGTAAAATAGTCATTTAGGGACATACATGGAATTTTAAGAAAAGATTAAGGGCAAAATAGTAATTTAATAATTTCAAGATGAAAAAGGAATAATATAAAATATTTAAAGGTATAATTGGAATTTTAGAAATAAAGTAAAGGTATGTTAAGAAAAATAATTAAAATATAGAATGAAATTAGAAAGATTCAACAGTGTGTTATGACGTGTGTGGGTCAGACTAAGTCTAAGGGTTGATGCCCAAAATCAGTCATGAAATGTTATGTATTGGCTAGACTAAGCCGGAGGGTTGGTGTCCAAAATCAGTCAAATACTATTATTTACCCAAATGAGCCGTGAGGACAGGTGGTTCAGAATCCGACAGATGTTAATGATTTTTGTTGTGTTTGAATGGGTGGTACAAAGTATATTAGTGTAATAACTACATCGGAGGATTCTGAATGAGGTCTCAGATTTCATTGATTGGTTGGGTCAGGTAGACTATGAGATCAGGCGGTGAGAAGTTGATGGGGATGACTGGTGGCGCGTTCGGAGGGGTACTCCAGTATGAGTGATGAAGGGCGTCAGTAATTCTACTCTGAGTGGAGGGTGGTCAGAATGGTACTGCAGGTGCCGATCACAATATGCCCACAGATGATAGCCTGAGTTCGGGCATAGTTAGAGTAGACTTCTGGAAGGCGTCTTAGTATATTGATGATTTGTAATATGAGAAGTGGAGATGCAACTACTGAACAGTAGGGATAATTCAGTGGGGTAGATTTGTGGGAGCTACTTTTGCATGTATCTATATAATATAAATTATGTTATTATGTTTTGAGGTTCTGCCAAAGAACCAGAATTTTAGTCTATATTACAATTACAGTAATATAATGAAATATAGATGTTGTTATTTACTTATTTACTATTTTGCGAATGTATCATCATAGTAGCGATTTTT